TCCACTTTATTATCGCTTTCTGGCCCATGTGTGATAACATCCTTAGTGCCTCTCTGAAAGAACATCAGAGGACCATAACTGTCTTCATTGGGCAGGGACAGTCCCAATTAATCCTCTGTTGTCCCACTTTTTCAGCTGCTTTTAAAATATCCTAGTTTCTCTTTCTCCGTGGTTGGGGAAGGACAGAGATGGCTGGTTTAGAAAAATGTAAAATTCTAAAATGTAAAGATATGCAATTAATCACAAAAGTTAGAATCATACAAGCCATTGTATTCCCTATTACCATGTATGAATGTGAGAGCTGGACAGTTAAGAAAGATGATACAAAGATAATCAACTCCTTTGAGATGTGGTGCTGGAGGATCCTGTGGGCAGCCAAGAAGACAAACAAATGGGCCTAGAGCAGATAAAGCTGGAAACCTCCCTGTAAGCTAAGGTAACCAAACTGAGGCTGTTGTACATTGGACACACCATGTGAAGAGAAGACTCATTCGCTGGGAAAGGTGGAGGGAAGTAGGATGAGAGGAAGACCACATGCCAGATGGATGGACTCTATTAAGGAGGTCATGGGTATGGGTTTTCAGGATTTAAGTAGAGCAGTGGAGTACAAGGAGTCTTGGAGATGTCTCATCCATAAGGTCGCCATGGATCAAGATCAACTTGAGGTCAGTTAACAACAACAAAAGTTTCTTTTTCCTCCTCCCACTTTCCCCCATTGTCCTAAGCTTGATTCATTTGCTGCCAAATGAATTCAAATTGCAAACGTTTTCACTCAGCCAGGGAGAGGAGAGGAGGGAGTAGAGTTGTGTCCTTCCCTGTAGACTCAAGTCAAAGCAAACTGGTGCAGCTTCTCCTAGATTGTGTGTTCTACCTCATTAATAACTTTGGCCATCTTGACCACACTCTAAAGTTGCTTGGCCACGTGTGTCCTGGTTTTCATCTGTGAAATGTGGAGGATATGTAGTCCTGCCACATTGTTCACCATGTGCATAAATCCTTTGTGGGAGGCCTTGGGAGGGCCCCCAACATTATGTTTGTTTCAGGCCCCATAAACCATGTATGTTATAGCAGTCGAGATACAAATTTCCAAAAAGCAGAGCTTGTCTTACAGCGGGTGAGAGGGCTTGATCTGAAGAAAACTTGTCCTCTGTGAATTCCTATAGGTCCCTCTCCTATTGCTGCTCTGAATGGAACATCAAAGGATAGGCCCAGAAACAGGATGGGCTGTAGATTGTCAGGGCAATAGTGGGAGGGAAGAATTGCTCCAAATCCATGCAAAGTTCTTCTGTCCAGTTTTGAACAGCTTCTTTTTCCACTGCAGCCCCCAAGTTATATCTAATGACTTGCAGGAGCATCCCAGAACTCCAGTAACTGTGATATCAGAAGGATGATGAATCCACTTCAGGTTTTATTCTGAATTTTAAAGGAGCTATCCAAGATGATGAATTTATTTTAGGATAAGGTCTCAGATTTTGAATAGCTCCTTTAAAGTTTGCCCCAAATTTCTGTCTCTGTCCTACCACTCTCACAGGTACATCTAGTGGGAACCCAGGAGAAGGCTTTCTCAGTGGCTGCCCCCAGGCTCTGGTACTCCCTTCCCAGAAAAGTTAGACTTGTACCCTCCCTACTTTCTTTTCACACACAAACTAAAACTGTTCTATTCTGTGTGGCTTTTGATGAGTAATGATATAAGGCCCATCTTACACAATGTGCTGGATATTGCTAATCACTGTACGGGTGTGCATATGTGGTTTAATATATATTTTAACCTGGTTTTACTTTTTTTTAAATTGTTTAATTGTTTTTTTAAACATTTGCATTTGATGGATTTTAACAATTTTTTTTGTTTTAATTGTTTTTAGCTGCTTTGAGTTCCAACCTTGGGGAAAGACAGGATATAATAATAATTAGGAGGAGAAGGAGGAGGAGGAAGAGATACTCCATCATGACACAATATATCTGGTCCATATTCCAGTGGTCAATCTGAACTTTCTAATAGCTACCCCAGGTCTGGAACCTATTTTGTGGGTAGGTTTTTAGAATGGTGTAGTGGTTTGTGCATTGGAATATGACTCTGGAGACTAGGGTTCAATTCCTGCTTGGCCATAGAAACCCACTGGGTGACTTTGGGAAAGTCACATGCTCTCAGCCTCAAGGGAAGGCAATGGCAAACCTCTTCTGAACAAATCTTGCTAAGAAAAAAACATGATAGGTTCACCTTATGATCATCATGAGCTGGAAATGACTTGAAAGCAAACAACAACAACAACACAATTCATTACAGTGGATTGCTCTGCCTCACAGATATAGATCATCAGCTTCCACTGCCAAATCCTATGGAATTGCTTATCCAGGGCCCCATGATCCTAGTATGAGAAACCCTCCCCATGTCCAACTTTTATTGCATGTTTATTCTGACAATACTCCAGTGTTGTTTACTTGGAGTGGCAGGCCTCCAGCCTTTCAGGAAGGCATACTTCAAATGCAATATACATCTGTTGTTTTGTATACATCTGTTTGACGCATGAGGTTTTAGTATTTTTGCATTTTTGTAAAATATATTTTTCTCCAAAGGGTGTAGTACTGTACTGTAGAAGCACAGTACTGTATGTTTTATTTATATAGGTAGGTCAGCCCTGCATTAATTGGTTGCATGCAATTTGTGAGACATAA